TAATACTTACATTAATTAACTATTAATGATTTATCCCCTATTATAATTAGTTTATATATATATATATATATATAATATATTCACATATAATAAGTATGTATTTAAGAACGGTGTCTGATAAAATGCATGTTATATGATAACATTGAATTACATTATCTGTGCAATTCAATTAATCATCATGACAATAATTTATTCCAATAATTGATTTATATTGCATTATTTATGAATAATATTGCATTTCTTATATATATATATATATATATATTGAGTATCCTTCTTAAATGCATAATTATCATATGTAATGAAGTTACATAAGCAATTATCACAAATTATGAATTGCAGTATAAACATTATTTATATATTAAGTATTGTTTTTTATAATATAATTCATCGATATAACTACATTCAAATAGTTATTAATTATATTATATTGTTATTTTTTTATTATGCTTATATAAGTATATATATAATTTTTATATAATGTTTCTATTTCAAATACATAAGCTGAGTGTATTTGTGTCTTATAGAGTTTGTAAGTATTTTCTCACTACTCCTAATAATGGGGAAAATGGTATGGAAAGCCTGGCCATGTTTGGGTGCCAGTCACCTTTTCGAATCTCAATCTTGGCGTCCGTGCTGACTTGGCGAACGGATGGAGCGGCTGAAGCGCCGATCCACGCGTGAACGCCCAGACCGGCCAGCGATTCCGCGGAGCGTCCGAGAGAAGTTGCCGCGACGTCGGCGAGTCCCGCCTGTCTGGCGTCGTCTGCCTCGTGCCATGACAACCCGTTCAGCCCCAGCGCCCAGTCGGCCTTGGCCTGTCCGCCGTCCAGCCGGTCCTCCGTCGGCCGCGAAGCCGGTTCGCCCGGCCTCGAGCCAGGGCCAAGTTGGTCGGCCGATGCAGCGTCCATTTCACGCCTCGCGGCCGGACTCGGTGACCGAGCCCCGGCGCCGTCGGGCCGGGATGGACTCGGCGGCGAGCCGACAGACGCCAAAGAGGAGCAGCGCGGCAGGTCGAGTCTGCCGCCGGCCGCGGAACTGGCCCGACGGTCGACGAGTTCGACTCGAGCCCGAGTCCGACCGGACGGCCGGGGACGCAGTGTAGTGGGGCTCGGGGATGCGTTGCTGACGCTGACGCGACCGATCCGAGACCCGTTGGCGGAGTCGTTGGACCGAAGGCAGAGGCAGACGTGACGATCGGGACCGGACGACCCGATGGCATGCGACTCGAAATGGCCCGTCCGAGCGGTCGTCTGGCAACCGGTCTTTGTTGTCTGGTTGCCGGACGACTCGGCGAAGTGACTGGCCAAGTGAACGTCAACTACCGGCCGGAAATGGGGCAATTGGTGATTGTGTCCGAGGGAGATTCGCGCCTCCCACGCTCGGGGCTCGGAGGCCGGGCCCGGGAAAGAGCGCCTAGCGACCGACAAGTCCGAGTCCGGTCTGGGTTGACCGAGTCCCGCCGCCGCTGCTTCGAGAGTGCAGATTGACTCGACTCGTAGTTGGTCCGAGGCGCTGGCCACGCGACGGTTTGCGGAGCCGACGATGTGGTCAGAACGAGGTTTAGCAAAATCTGGACGAGAGCGTGAAGAGGAGGGAAAAGCGGTTGACGAGTAGTCGACCTTTTCGAAGCTGGCCAGATGACCATTCAAGCGCCACGTCCGGTTCGGATGAGTGGCCGAGGCGGGCGAGAAGTTTGGTCGAAAATCGCAGACTCGCAGACATGCCGGCTTCGACTCGGCGCCAGAAAAGCCGCCCAACTGGGCAGGTGAGCGCTCGACGAAAGTCATGTTTTCAGTCTCTGTCTTTGTCTATCGGCCAAGTTCCCATGCCAATCTCATCATTTCTGCACATGTACACGCCTCTAAGCCATCTGTCCGGGTCTCTATCCAACCTCATTTGGCATTTTTTTACTTTCTCCTCGGCCAATAGACACACAGCCTCGTCACGTCTTCGTATCCTGGTAACACAAAGTGTAATCCCTTGTGGACGAGTCACATGTAGGCGACAGTAACGTGTCTATCCGGGCCACATGAAAGGTGTCTGTACAAACATGTCGACACGTACGTTGCCCCTGGCCTCCTCAGTCGTACTCAACGGCGGACTGACGAATTGTGGGCAAAATGGCAATTGAATTCGCCTAAACCGCTCAAGTGATCAGAGTCGAAGCACAAAAACAAAGCCAAAATGTAGACTTCTTGAGGCTTACGTGTCGTGGAGACGAGATGAAATAAGATAGCATACAAGGAAACATAATTGAGTAGGAGAGGCCGATGGGAAATGGAGTTTGAGCCAGATTGTCAATCGGCCAATCAATGCCAGCAACGCCCAACTTCCATTGCCTAGCGCCCAACGCCCAACTCCCAAGGTCCGGCGTCAACCGACATTCCGTCTCGTCTGTACCTTTGTCTCGCACTGATCGACCAAGTTGGGCATGGACCCTAAATCCGGACGAGGCAGCCAACTCCTCTGGCTCCAAGGCCTGAATATGAGACTGGGGCGGATAGTGGGTGTGCCTGTGTGTATTTGTGTGTGTAATTGAAGGTAGTACAGGGTGTGTGTAAGCGAAGCTATGAAAGGGTGTGTCCAAGTGGAGGTATGAACGGGTGTGTGTGTGAATGCATGCTGCTAGTATGGGATTCATTAGTTTGATGCCATCAGGACGGCCGAGGCAGGCAAGCCGACTGGCCCCATTTAGTCATGGTGACGGTGACGGTGGTGGTGGCGGTGGTACATCAATCCATGCTGCCCATGAGTCTGGTGTGAGTGGCAAGACCAACTAATAGGACAAATAATCGGCTGAGATCTGTATCCGCCCAGAGGCTGGTGGACGATGACAGTAAATGCGTCTGGTGAATATCCCTTACTCAGGCCTCAGCACAATCTAACTTGATCGCGTAGTTGAGAGGCAAGGTACAGAAGGACAACAAGCCAGGCTGAAATAGCTCATCTGGGACCAAAAGCGTCTGGGAAGATGACGAAAAACTCAATGTCTTTGGGGTTGTCTGCAAAAGTTGACTCTACTTGCATACGAAAAATAAGTAGCGTAGCCGATTGTTATGGCAAAAATGCGTTTGTCGCATCGACGATCCCACCAAAGAATGTGATATGGCAAAACCCCTGGCCTTCATCGAAATTCACGTTTGCCCTGTGACCCATTCTGCACTGTCGCGGTTCGACTCCCGCTGGGGGTGTTGATAAGACCAATGCGAGGTCCACTTCTGTCTGGAAAACGAGGCTATGTGCAATTCAATGGAAACGTGTGTTTTACTCATGTCATTGTGGAAAATTCTACATCTCATTACACTGAGTTACTGGTAGTCTCGAAACCCTATTCTAATACGAATATAAGTAACGTTGTCGATTACTATAGCAAACATA